AAAAAAATACGTTGGTTATGTGTGTTAGAGAGGGGCGCCATATTGTTGCTGTAACCGGTTGGTAAAAGTACCTGGGGCCACCTCTACAAGTAACTCATTGGAAGAACTTCCGTATTGCAAGTGAAAGACAATGGGTTCGATCCCCAGCACCTCCAACGGCTGAAAGAATGATAATTTTTTTTTATATTTAAAGATTTTTTGTTTATTATGTTTTGAAGTCGAATCCTTATGCTCCGCTGCTCTCCTCTCCGAGAGAGAAACAGAAGTCCGAAGGTAGGAACCGTTCTTCCCACGTTGTTCTAACACAGTTACAACGGAGAGGATGCTTCTCCGTACACCTGCAGGCAAGGGGGTGTAGCTCAGTGGTAGAGCGTTCGCCTTGCATGTGAAATGCCCTGGGTTGGATTCCCAGCACCTCCAACGGGTGAAAGAAGAATAATTTTTTTTATATTTATAGACTTTTTTGTTTATTATGTTTTGTAGTCGAATCCTTATGCTCCGCTGCTCTCCTCTCCGAGAGGGAAGCAGAAGTCCGACGGTAGGAACCGTTCTTCCCATGTTGTTCTAACACAGTTACAACGGAGAGGATGCTTCTCCGTACACCTGCAGGCAAGGGGGTGTATGTCAGTGGTAGAGCGTTCGCTTTGCATTTCATTTTAACCATATTTTGAATGTAATTGATATACTTCCATTTTTTTGGAGTTCACATTCACATAGACAGAAAAACAGACTTATCGTAGACTGACTTCCTGAAAAATGTGACGAAATTCTTTTCTATTCATTTCATATTCCAAATTTTAGTTTTTCAACTTGTTGCATTCTTTTTTTGTAGTATAATTACATATATTTTGTAATATAAATACATACTTGTACATATAAATACATACATACAGAACTCCAATATTGCTTTCTCCGTTTCTGGGATTTCTAAAATGTGCGGATCCCTCAAAACTTGGAGATACATTTTTTTAGTATTACTATAATTTGTATACTTCGCATACATTAAAGTTAAATAAGTAATGTTGTGATTTTATGAGCGAACTATTGATCAATTTGTTCTTACAGTGATAAGATATACGTGGGCATTATACACACAAATTAATCTTGATATGTGCTCGATAGCTCAGTGTTTTGCTTTCACTCCCAGGGTTCTTTTAATCCAAGGATGTCAAACATAAGGTCCGCGTGTCCAACGAATATCTTTGTGGGCCGGCAAACATTGCAATATGTAACAATATTTTTATAAAATAATTCATAGCTTAATTTTTAAAAACCCAATTATACATATCTATAATAACTTGCCGCATCATTCGTCAAAGACCGATTACTAGTCGTACGCACCATTTCCCGCACCAGTAGCAGCGAATATTTTAGCAGCCGATAATAAAATAATCGAGATCCAGTGCTGTTTAGATGTGGAGACAAAATTCAATGAAGTTGGAAATTCTGAAGTTTAGAAATATTTGCTTGCCAGGTTTCAAAGCACTGAACTCCCCGCACCTGGATAGGAGATCATTTTCATTTCCGCGATAGGAGATTATTTTCATGTTTGGAAGAACTTTATATCGATTCGAGCAATTGTTTTCTCATTTGAGAGGATATTGAATCTCCTATCCGATCCAGAATTACTGGTATTTAGCTTGGATAAGTTGAGAACTAAATCTCTACGGCCAAGCTGTCGTCAGGAAGAAAATATTAACTTTAGAATTGTCCATGTTCTTTTTCGTACTGTGATTTCGAATTAAACCAACGCTTGTAAAAATATAAAGATTTTTTTACTGCTCCCCGTATAAGCTTAGATCTGGTTAATTTGGCTTATGATAGGTTTGAGTTTTATACGCTTTTATTAATCCATAAGGAAGCACAACAAATTATTCAAATTAGTTTCACACTATAGAAAAGCAGATTGGACTGCACACTAACACTTTTTATTTGCAAAACGGATACACTCTAGGACGCGTGCTGTTTCAAATTAGTTTCACACTATAGAAAAGCAGATTAGACTGTACACTAACACATTTTATTTGCAAAACAGACACACTCGAGGACGCGGGCTGTTTCTCCCATCTTACATTCTGTTCTAGTTTTAATTCACAATTTAGTAAGTAATGCATGATGTCTCAAAAATGTATATGCAGTTTAAATGATTATAACTTCAGTTTTTATTTACATATAATTAATATTGAAATTACGTAGAATCCACATAAAATGTATAAGTTTTCTTTCTACTGCAGATGTTCAAACTTTTTACCATTCTGGTCAATAGACTGTTGATAACGGTGGGATATTGATTTACAAAGTTCAACAAGCATTTCATTTGGTTTTGTAGATTATTCTTGCTGAATTGAGACTCTTAATTCCAGTGTAACATGTGGATTTGCACTTTCCCAGTAACTGAAATTATGTCGATTAATTGTGCCATTAATTTGAACATAGCTTTATCGCTCTAAAAGATCTTTTCCGAAG